ACCAGTAATACCTATTTATCTCAATCCATAAGTAGCCCTATATACCTAATTTCCATATGTTATTAGTTTCAAAATCTTTGAATCTGTATACCTAAAAAATTACCAGGTTCATTATCAACATGTCTCTCATTTTAAAGTTTGCAAGTTTAGTCAGCAGAGACCTACTACTCTTTGAAAACTGGATTTTGGTAAAAAACAACATAATCATATGGTAAAAGCAAAGCAAAATGAATTGAGAAATACTTGACGATATGAACTAGAACATAGCGTAGATGTGTGCCAGTAATATTAGTATATCTGACTTCTGAGTGCCTTCGTAACAATATAATCTCCTTTGAATTAAAGGTAGTCCTGTATGTCTTCATTTACAAATAGTAACATCAATGTGCATCAATCTATTCAAATAGCAAAGGGGGCAGAAACTCCATATACATATTTTCTTGTACATTTTCTTTAGAAGAGTACCATTCAAACTCAGTCCACTTTAAGATGAATGAGATTTAGGGAGTGTTTTCGGCAGACAGGTTGGTGGGGGAGATCATGTCCACATGTCTGAGTAGAAGTGTGGTTCACGAGCAATCCCCTAAAATTTGTTTCAAATTACATGTGAATTTTGACATTAAATAGTGGTTCTTACTATTTTTCTTCTGAAATTTCAACTTTAATTTTCTCATCCATATTTACTCTCCAATAAGAGCAAAAGAGCTTTCCTCTGCCTGAATAAAATGATAATTTAAAAGGTTATAAAACCAAATCCCTACTAGAGATGGATGTCATCATAAAGGGATGAAGAGCACTGCTTCAGAACATTATATATCAGTAAATCACATTTGCAGCGAAGGAGGAAAAAAAGCTGTGTTTTTACATTATTAACTTCCTAGAGCCCTCTAATGATTAAAAAATGATAATAATACATAAAATTGAAAACCCATACACTCCTGTGAATAGAAAATACAATACTGAGCACAGCATTTATAAGACAAGTTGTAATTCTCCAATTCACAATTCCTTCTTACCATGTCTGTTTTTGCTTGATACTGCATGGTGACCATTCCTATGAAGATCTGCTTGCACTGCATCCGGAATGCATCATCTATATCATCAATTTCTTCATATTCAGTGTGTTCTTCATCTCCAAACAAAGCCTCTGTGAAGATAAAATGAAATAATGACAAAAAAACAGGCATACATTGCCAAATAACAAAAAAAAAGAATAAAAAGAGAGAAAAAAATGCAGTTGTTGCCATATTCATATTCATATTTATATATATATTCATATCTATATTCATATCTACATTTATATCTATAATATTCATATTTATGTTTATATTTATATTCACATGTGTAAGCTTACATATAAAAGCATACTTATTTGAATGAGAATGTTAAATACTTCAAAAAATACTTCAACACCTGCAATCCTTATCTTATAGCTTTGCAATATGTGAATCAATGGCATGTTCCTCCTTGCAGTTTAAACTGCATATTCAGAAGCAGTCAGAACAAGAAAAATTACAGCAAAGTACAATAACATGTTTCAAAATTCGACAAAAACCCTTGGAACTCTGAGGCTGACCTGTGCTGATGTGTGGTGTTGGGGTGCGCGCGGCACTGTAAAGGTGTGATGGATCAATGGGAAGCTCCATGTAAAAGCTGCTCAGGTTTTCCCTTACTACGCACGAAGTTGGACGGTAAGAGAAGGCCGTGCAGTATGCAGAAAGACTTGTTCTATGGTAGAAATCTAGAATCTTCTTCCTGTAATATGTGAAAAGTTATGATTAACTAATTCATCATAATCTTTGAAATCTTCTTACTTTATGTGGCTGCTGTAGCGAGAGAGTGAGAAAAAAATAATGGCTATATATTTCTGAGAAGTATATGGAGAAACACATACAATACTCCAAAATTGTATGTGTTTCAAAAATTACAAACAAAGAGTGTGAAATAATGAGAAGCTCTGAAAATATTTCACACAAAAAGTATGAAAAATTGAGATACTTTGAAAATAAAAAGTGTGAAAAAAAAAGTTCTGGAAGTATTTCATATAAATTAGTCAGAAGTTTCTATATGAGAACAAGGTTGGTACATTAGGTCATAGAGTCATATAATCCACTTCTTTTGGACATCTCATGCCCCTTCGCTCAGCACAGTAGATTAGGCACACATTACTGTATGGCATTGCTGCAGCACAGAATTGAATTTTTTATCAGTTTATACCCGACTGATCACTAACTGCCTAATTACTTCCTCCCATTCATAAGATATGCATATATATGAAAATGCATTATGATGAAGGACACAGGAAGGCTGTACAAGAACGACAAATATTTTCATTTCTAATAAATGGACTCTATATAAAATTAAGAACTCATTTACCAAAGCACTACATTGTTTGCATAACATTCACAATCATAATGATAAGTAAGATAAGTTTTGATTCAAGAATTCTCATCTGCTTCTTCATGTGATATAATAGTTAATGTTAAAGTCAATCAATAAAGTGGTCTAGATAGTTTTCAACTATTTTTTGACTTATTGTTGCATTGATGATCATATCTAATGTAGCTTCTCTGTCCCAACTGGAAATAAATTTCTATAGTAAAAATTTTCATAAGTAGAGTGGCGTGAGGAGAAAATATGTAGGATAACTAACTACAGATCTATGGTTTCAAGGCGTAGTTATAACACATGATGAAAATCATTTTGTGATCTTTCTAGTTTTGGGTTTTGAGGGTATGTGATCACATCATAATGGCCTAATGTTGCCAACCAATATATCTCTTAGGAAAGCAGCAGAGTCCTAATGAGATACCCAGATGGAACAAGACTACATCTTTAACTTGACAAGGATATCTTACAAATATGATATATCAAGACTTCTTCATCCTGTGTAACCTTAAAACAAGAGAAAGGTCAACACGATCTTTTCAGAATCTCCTTTTCAACTATTGATTAAAAACTTTCTCCTCAACAACTGTTAGTTCAACATTAAATCACATACCTATCTTTTTCTGTTAAGGGACAAATGTCATAACCATCCCAGTAGTCTGTGCACGAGTCCAGTATTATGTCTGCCGTCCCCTAAAAGCAAGAAAACAGGACAAGAGATACAGAGTGAGTGTTGAGTTAAAAATGATTTATCTAGCTATATTACAGGCACACATAAATATTCATATATAGGTCATGTTTCAAAATAAATGAGTGACTGTAATTATCAAAAGACTGTTAGACAAGCTTCATGAAGGCAATCATATATGTCTAAACTAAAGCAATGCAAATAGTGGCATATATGAACTAGAAGATACAGGTTCCTGGTTGCTGGCAATAGTCACAGGGAGGCTTGAATTCACTTATTTCCCCTATTTCTTTTTATTCTTATCACTATTACCACTGTTAATAACAGTAAACAAATAATGATAACAATAATTATGGTATCTTTGATGATGATAATAACAGTACCAGAAAAAAAATAATTCCAATGATTTTCATAGACACACCTAAGAGTGAAATGGTTGACATTCTTGACTAAAACAAACATCTCTGATATGATACAGTAATAATATTCTAATGAACTAATCAGAGAACATTTGCGTTCCACATATGTGTCATCTTTTACTAGGTATTCTAAATAGCTTATAACAAGATTAGAAGAAAATGTAAATGAAAACAAATATAACTCTACAAGCGCATAACTTTAATTCTTTCACAAGTGCAAAGAGATAAGTTGAAGTTCACAGCTTCACTGCATACATACCTGTGACATGAGTTCTAATTTGCGTGAAGCTCTGTCTCTCATCAAGACCGAGACCATGTGAGGGAACGGGAACTTCAATTTGGTGATCATGAGGGATTTGGCAAGACGATCTTTACATGCCATGTCTGGGGGCTGGAAGTAATTCACTTTAACATTGAACTTGTCACAATAAGGACAGATACATATCATTGCATCCCATAATGAACATATAACAATATGTTGCAAGTTTTATGAGGCAATGCCACACTCACCACATGTCTGAATGTTGATAACTGATGCTCCAGTTCAAATGGCTCCTGAGCTTGTTCACTGAAGCCTATCTGCTTCGCTAATTCACACAGGCATCTGGATAGCAGCAATACAATGAACAAATTTAATACATATATATATGAGTGTGTTGTGTTAAATGTGTTGTGATGTGCTGTATTGTATGTATTGTGTAGTATGGTTGTCTTGAATGTGTTGTGTTGTATGTGTGTGTTCACAGAAGCATGCATATATAAATTCCATTTTTATAAAAGAACAAGCTTTAATCATTTTGAATATTCTCTTTTTATTGGGCATTTTTGCCCCTGCACCTTATAATTTTGCCTTCAATAAAACATCCATGCAAATCTCTTAAGAGGAGATCATAATTTAGAAACTATTTACAAAAGATTTGTGCTTTCACTCAATGCCATTCTTATAGTGGTGATAAAACCAGACTCAAATATAAAGTACATCAAAATATAAACCAAGTTAACCCTTTAACTGCTTTGTGTGTTCCAAAAGATTTTTCTAATCTGATTCACCTCTCACATTGATTCCTACTTGTCCTACTTGTCTTTTCCTTCTGAAACCTCTGACGACAAAACCTACAATGCTTTCACAAAATAATGCTTGCCAACGCTCGGCTCATGTAATTATCCACTGTCCGTACTATGAATACATCTAAGCTAGGGACTACAACTACTGTTAATGGTAAATATGAACAGCCTTTCCACATTATATAAGATAAATCCCAGTGTCATAACAAGGTACAAGTATATCAAACTGCCCCAACAATGAAATATAAAACATTAACAGTTGTATGCCTGTAAAGCTAGGGTCCCACTAGTCTTCTCCGTCCTGGGATCCCTAGACAGCCTCATCGAAGTCTGGCCAGCTACAGCTTTTGACTGATCAGCTGACCTGACTTTGGTGAGGCTAGTGTGACCCTAGCTTGAAATGCACCCCTTGATTTCTGCTGAACTGTTTAGAAAACTAA